GAGACTTCTGACATTCTAAACTCCTTCAAATTCAACTGTAGTCTTATTGGCTACACAACCACCTCCTTAGGATAAACATAGACCATTTAAGACTCTTCTGATCTTTGCTGCATCAACCAATATATTAATTGAATGTTATTTTGTTTTACAGTCAAGAAAAGGCTATGCAAAGACTGTTATGGAAATCAATACTCCCAAAATTGACCAACTGCCTATCTTCGATGTGATGATTAATGACTTTGGTGATCAAAATCAGAAGTTTGGCTTTGAAGTGGGTCCAGTCTGTTTCCTTGGTTAAGTTTAGAGTAAAGAGCAAATCTTCAAGAAGAGAAATGTGCTAGGTATCACCATACCAATTCACTTGTGCCATGTGTAAGTTTTAAATAAGAATGGAATAGATGTGTTTCACCAAATATGTATGTCTTTTTTAGAAAACACCCACTGACTGCCCTTTTTGGAGCAGAATCACATGACTTAAATTTATTTGGCAAATGATGAATGATCCTGTATCACCGACAGGCAAGTTCATCTTATGAATGTCCTCCACCAACCTATCCTTCTTTACCCACCTATGTTCCTTTTTATTTTTATTTTTTTGGTGCTGTAAAATTGAATGGTGCTCCTTTTTTTTTTTTTACAACATAAGAGGTGCTAAGAAGATATGTTTAATAAACTGTAATTATTCTGTGTACAGTACAGTGCTGTCCAGTGTCTGTTTCTAAAACTTGCATGCGTCCCTGAATTGCAACTGGCTGTTACCTTATCCTAATTTCAAAAAATTACATTTCAGTACCGTGTATGTATTATGAAAAATAAAGCTGTAATTTCCAATGAAGTCCCACTCCATATTTTTCTGATTAATAATATGATAATGTACCCTCTTTGTATATATTGATCTCTAGAGTTGTGTTATTTGAAGTCAGTGACAAAACCTCAGGTCCAGGCAGAACTGGAAACAAAGGAGAAGCACCTTTTTCTGCTACAACTATCTTGCAATAAGGAATTCCAAGAAGGATCCCAAGGGCCCGTTGAGATACTCCCACGGGATGCCATACCTCATTTCAAGACCATAAGCAAGTTGCGTTGGTTGGTGGTGGCTATCTTTCACGTTGGCGTGGGAAAATGTGCCTTGTTAAATTAAATGTGCAAAAGATGCAAGGAAAGTCCCTGTTGCTCTAGCGCAGGTTCTTCGTACTGTGTTCTGACAATATGGGGAGTTATGAGCCAGATGGAAGGAGACCATATCTGTGGTCCATTCTTCACTAAAGGCATTGCCTTCATTATTGGAGTAATGCTGATATGCAGAAAAAGTAGCAGCGTAGTTATTATGTCTACGGATGCCTCTTCCAATATTTCCACGGCTTAGGAACAAAGTATACCAGTTTCTGGCTGCCAGATCTTTTCCTGTAATGTCAGAAAGGGGCCCTTGAGTATAATGAATTAATTTCAGTAATATAATTAACTAGTCTATAATTAATGACTAATTGAAACACTCAGAATTTATTTTTTTTCATCTGGATATTAAAAGTAGATTCTGCACAATTATTTATGAACTGTGCTACTTTCTGGCACATTTGCTAAGTATACCTAAATTATATATGAGCAGTGCCTGTATTTGTCACACTAATGTCTAGTTTTTATTCTATCTATTCTCTCAGTGTCATTGTTTACTTCTGAAACTTCAGAACAAAGACTCTTGCCCCCGTTCAAGATATTTTTCCCCTTCTTGGGCATATCTTGATGGCCAAGGGGGAAAAAAAAGAAAAGAAATTTAAAATATATTGCCATTTATTGTATCAAATGAGTAACTACATGTCTATCAGAATTCTGATGTGCAAATCTTAGTGCAGATAAATCTTTCTCCATTGGTCATATTAAAGATAATGGTAGATCAGGTGAAGGGACTTACATCCTGGCCACTTGGCTAACTTAAGCAAATACCACATTGCAGATGATGGAAGTAGTCAATGCAGCACTATAACCTCAGATTCTGGATTTATATCGATGGAATCTATTTGCTCTCCCAGCACAGAAGATACACGAGTGTAAACTTAAATCTGTTCAGGTAACCTTCTTGCTGTATTGTGACAAATAAGTCTAGGTCATGTGATTCTACCTAGTTGCCAAGCAACCTATGAGAAAATTGCTAACCATGAAGCTTATTTTTTTTTTTTTACTCAAGCAGTTACAATTTGCAATCTTATTTTTTTTTTCCTGGCCTCAAGGTTTTTTTTTCTGGGTGGTCAAACATAGACATTAATTTAACACAAATCCTTTTGTACTTATTTCTCATAATATATGTAAGACTTGAAAAATATTTGTTACTATTTCTTATATAAATCTGTTTAAATTAATTGATACCAGATCCCACTAGCTCATTTTCTGCTGTTTTTAAGCATGCAAGCATTTTATATGTAAAAGAAATTTCAAAGTCAACAATTTGCTGTTTGGAATTCCTTTTCTAAAACCAAAGTTTGTTAATTGTCACCTGAAAGACAAAAATAATATACATTTTATTAATAAAATCAATTCCTGTCTCCATGGACTGATCATTCTGTTTTTTAATCCTACAGGAAATGCTGTGTAATCTTCAATAACACAATTAAATTCTGGCTGTAGGTAATCTATCACATAAGCCACAGAATATAGATCAAAGCCTCTTGTAAATATTCAGGTCAAAATCCTCATAAATGGAGTAGGAGGAGTGTGTTAAATAAGTTTTGATTTCCTAAATGTCACCTTCAGAAAGCTTTGTTTATTATTGATGAAGTTCACAAATGTCTGCCTGAGTCTGGAGA